TGTTATGCATGCAAAACAGAAGGCTAATTGGGAATACGACGTGAACTGACTACGAGAGACAGCACAAGTGAGGAGGTTTGTGGAAACGGCTTGGTATATGTCAAGGGAGACTGTCATAGGCTGATGGGTGGCCAATTAACACAAAGAAGGTGTGAACAGGGGTCACGACCTTGATCGTTCGCTTGCCGCGCAATTGTGGCATGCTGTCTTGACGGTCCGGGCAGGATACGCTGCATCCCTCCACCCTTAAGTGGAGAGCATGAGAAGGAGGAAGGAAAGAGTAAAGGTAATTGTAGATAGTTAAACAACTATCTAGTGGGATTCGCCCTGAAGGCGTTGGACAGGTTTGCGGATTCCGGTCGGTCTTCTCAGGGCGGTATTTTCAACCTCTGGGCTGCTTTGTGGAATCACTGGTTCCTCTGCAACTAAGTTAGTGCTGGCCGGGACAGAAGGAGGGGGAGGAATATACGCCTCGGTCGGTGGCGTAATGCTCTATACAGGCAGTAGGTGTTCAGTTCTCGGAATGCCAGGATACCTATCAAGGGTTGCTGGCAGTTCGAAGTTTCCGAATTCTCCACTAACTGTGTCCGTTCGGCTGCGAACTTGGTCCAGATGTCGACGCACAATTATCTCATCTTCTAGCTCTCATTCTACTATTTGCCCCTCGCGTGTTCGAAATACCGATGGAGACCAGTTCGGTTCGTGTTCTAGTCGCGTGTAGGCCTTTTCGGTAGGCGCGACGGCTCGTGAGCGGATGTTCACATCATATCACGCTTTCATCTTCGTATGTTTTTCAATGAATCCATCGTGAGTTGACGGATTAAACAGATCGAACTGTGTGCACAACAACCGCTTTAACATCAATTCTGCAAGCGAAGCACCCGTGGAGTCGTTTGGTGTTATGCGATAGCTGGACAAAGGCGTGGCAACTTGGTGGCCAAGTCCGCTTCCGTCTGTTTGGCTAGTTCATGCTTTTTTGTCTGGACTGCAGGCTCTGCGGGGCCATAAGAAGCAGCGTGGTACGGGACAGTAGTTAAATACATAATCCGATGTTTCTTCACAAAATCTTCAAATTATGCACTAGTAAAGGCCGGACCATTTTCTGAGACGACCATTTCAGGTATCCCAAAAGTAGAAAAAAGACGGTTCGCAACTTGTTGATTGTAGTCAGTGAAGAACAGGAATTTCCCGTCGGACTCGCATCAATTCGTTTACTGCGGGCATTAACCAACACCAAGATCATATGGCCTTGGAATGACCTAAAATAATCGACGTGTACCCTCCTTCACAGCTATTCAGGCCAGGCCGAATGCTTGAACGGCACCTTCGGTAAGGTCTTCTGTGTTATTTAGCACACATGCCATGCCTTCGCCAAATTTCCGATATCTGCATCAAATTTGGATCACCAAACATAGCTGCGGGCGAGAACCTTTATTCTAACTATACCAGGATGAACATTATGCTAGTCTTTGAGGATGGCCCGTCGGCGTTGTGGTGATACAATTACACGATTTCCACATGGCATGCGTCCGTCTTGTAGAACCAACTTGTTCTGACGGCTGAGGAATGGCCGAAAATCAGAGGAGGTAGAGGGCGGCCAGCCAGAGTGCAAGACACTTTTTACCCAACTTAAAAGAGGGTCTCTGGATGTCCACTATTGAATTTGTTGACAGGTTACAGGTGCATTGGTTAGGTTCTGCAAAAGATTCACGGTCTCAAAAACAGATGCCCCGTTAACACCACCATCCACAATGGGAAGCCTACTCAAGCCGTCAGCCACCACGTTTACAGTACCCATAACCTACTGTATTGCATATGTGTGAGCAGACAGAGTGAGGTTCCATCGTTGCATTCTTGGCGAGGACATCTGTCGTATCCCTCGTTTTTCTACCAGCAAACATAAGAGGGATTTGTGATCAATGTGAATCTCGAAGGGTCAGCCTAAAAGATACAGGTGGAAGCGAAGTAGGCCAAACATTATTGCTGAGGCCTCTTTAGCTAGTTGCAAATAGTTGGTGTCCGCCTGGGCATGGTTTTTGATGAAAAGGCCATCAGTATCTCCGCGCCAGAAGGCCTTCGGTGCATGTGAACCGCACCCACGCCGTACGAAGACGCTTCACATTTGAGTATGATAGGCTTTTCGGGGTCGTAATGAAGTAGGGGAGATGAGGAGGAAGGATCCGCCTTCGCCTGTTCAAAAGCACGTTGTTCGACCTCCGATCAATTCCAGCAACGACTCTGTTCAAGTAGTCGATAAAGAGGCTTTAGAATTGTAGCCCGGGTAACCAACCACGGGAATGAACGTGCAAGGCCCACTATCTCGATTTTATTTATCAGTATATCCCCGACATTCGACTTCTTAAAGACCTTTATAATCAAGTTGCTGACTGTCTTTCTCGGCCTGGCATTAATGCCATCACCCTCCCTTCCATCGATTTGGAGTGCATGGCAGAGCTGCAAAACCAGCCGACTATCACTGAGAGCCTTCAACACACTAGTCTTTAGCTCGAGGTCATTCCGCTTTCCACCACCCCCGGTATAATCTCGTGTGACGTATCGCGCGGTGCCTCCCGACCCGTAGTGCCAAGCGAGATGAGACGAGATGTTTTTCTGCGTTGCTCAATCTTGCTCACCCTGGCATTTGCACTGCCCAGCGCCTCCTGAGCGAGCGTTTCGTTTGGCCAGGCATGAACACTAATATCCGCCAGTGGACCTGTTCATGTTTCCCCTGTCAGAGGGCCAAAGTCGAATGGCACAATAAAGCCCCCATTGGCACTTTTCTCATACCCGTCGCACGTTTTTCCCATGTCTGGTAGGTCCTTTTCCAACATCGCGTGGTTGCAACTACATACGTACTGCGATTGACCGATGTAATCGTTGGCCCATTGCAAATTCAATGCCTAACATAACCGCAGCTTCCGTTGCTCATGACTTTTTGGAACACTGGATCTCTCATTATGGCGTCTCCTCAACTATTACCACCGATAAAGGCCAACAATTCGAGTCTAGACTTTTTACAACCTTACAGACCTCTTCGGATGTTTTCGCATACGCACGACAGCATACCACCCATCATCCAACGACTTAGTCGAGCGTTTCGATCGGCAATTCAAAGCCACGCTCCGAGCTCATGACAAGCCTTCCCATTGGGCGAGCATCTGCCTTTGGTCATGCTCGGTATCCGTACTGCTTTCAAGCCCGAATTGGAGTGTTCCGATGCCGAACCTGTCTACGGTATTACTCTACGGATTCCCGGTTATTTTTTGGGTACTCTCAAAGCTCAGCCAAATTATATCCCAGCGATTATGTGCAAAGATTGCTCCAAGACATGACTCATCTTCGAACCACTCCTCCACGTGCTCAAACAAGTAAGTCATACATCGGCCCGAACATACTAACATGTTCTTTTGTATTTGCTCGAGTAGATAAAATTCATCAGCCAGTACAACAGCCCTATAGAGACCCATTTCGAGTACTATCTTGCACAGACAATCATTTAACAATTGCCCGTCGAGGTCCCACCGACGTAGTCTCAGTCGATCGCCAGAACGCGACTTATACCGAACCTATTTCAATTTCCCCAACTGAACAACCTCCACTCGGCACATTGTCACTTGACATTTTCCAGACTCCAAACACGTCAAACAACCCTGCGTTTTCCCTTATCCCATAGACTCCTCCCCTTAGGCGTAGCGGTCATCATGTGGGAGGAATCACACATTTTGCCCATTCCCAAGCATGGCCAATCTACGTCATTTGATGACTTTCGGCCAATAAACTTTCCCTCCGGCAGTTTCGAAGATCTTAAAAACATTGATCAAAGATAAGATGATGCGTCACTTAACAGAAAATAACCTACTGAGCACTGCATAGCATGGCTTTCCCAAACCTCGGTCTTGTGACACCTGTGAGCTTTCTTTCCTTGACCTTGCAATCTAGGGGCAACGGTTCTGCACCTTACACAGTCTATTTCGAATCTGCTACGGCTTTTGATCGTGTTGAGCATGCTCTTCTTCTCTTGAAACTGCCCTCTTTTGGAAAAGGTGGCATGCTTCTGAATTTTATATTCCCTTACCTGAGTGCTCGCACACAACGAGTTAAAATTTCCAATGGCATCACCAACCCCACATGCGTTAGTAATGGAGTCATTTAGGGTAGAGTGCTGGGCCCGCTTTTATTTTGCCTTTTTGCTAACGATGTACCTGATTTATTTCGGAATAGTAAGCCCTTCATTTATGCCGATGATCTGAAATTTGCATATAGAAATAAGCCGGCAGATCGTGACATCGTGCTCGAGCTCCTGTAGAGCGACCTACAGGTCTTTACCCAGTGGTGCCGCACAGGGCGCCTTTCTCTTTCTTGGCATAGGTGTTCAGTCATGGTGGTTGGTGACGACCGCTAACCTCAACTAAGTAATGACGGTCACGCCATAAATGTGCCTGGGGATATTAAGGATCCGGGTGCATTATACTCCAAGAGTCTTGAAGAAGAAGACACGATCGCCGGGACAAGAGCTTTATTAGCCAGACGTTTCGGATTCCTGCTCGAATCCATCATCAGAGACATAAGCAGATAAGGGTGGCTCACGCACATGCGGCTGCAGTAGCCATGCTACCGCATACCTATGAATATTCACGGCTCCCTCCCCTTCATCAGGGTTCGTTGCCCGTGGCGTGATGGCCGATATTCGCGTCGTTAATTGCTGCAATTTCATCACGCGCTTTGGATGTTGGTGTGATGATTGCTCGCCCATCTGACGCGTTGACCCGGGTGTTGGGAAGAGTGTTCACCAATGCGCTCCCCGCGTGGCCAATTACTCCGCCTAGACGAAGTCTCAGCACGCTGTATTGAATGGGAAGAACATTGCACTTGTTAATAGACTGGGGGCCAGTAAACCATGACTCAAGCAGCTACCGGCTCACTCGGTTGTCACCTCTTGCGAGAATTTCGGCCTCATCGAATTTGAATGTGTGGCCGGAACCCGTCGAATGAGTCGCAACTTAAGAGCTGGCGACATTTCTCCGCACTGTTGCAGCGTGTTCCGTCATTCGCGTTCGGAGCTGTCTTCCGGTTTCTCCGACGTAGTTGCTTTGTCCGCAACTGCACCAGATCCGATAAACGACTCCAGATGTTTCTTGCCGTGGCAGTGGGTCTTTTGGTTTCATCAACTGACGCCTGATGGTTGCCTCCGGCCTGTGTGCCACTCCAACCCCAAGTGGTGCGAGAAGGCGGCCAACAGCTTCCGAAACGTTCTTGACATATGGAAGCGCACGCCAAACTTTGGTGTCCGTGCGGTTAGGCCTTTGGTCCATTTTGTGTATGCACCGGTTGACAAAGTTGTGCGGGTAGCCACTGGCTTTGAAGAACCGTCGGAGGTATTGTAGTTCAGCAATCTTGTCTTCCGGCTCACTGCAGTGCGTTTCGACACGCCAATAGAGCGTCCTCACACAAATGCATTTGTGACTGATTGGGTGGTTGCTGTTGAAGTTCAGTACTTGCATCGTATTTGTCGTTTTCCTGAACACTTTGGTCTTTAGTCCACCACAATCCTTGCGGCATACGAGGACATCCAGGAAGGCCAGCTGGTTGTTCTCTTCCTCCTCCATCGCAAATTGTATGTCCGGGAAGACCGCATTCAGACGTTCCTTGAATGTCAGCAGTTGATCCCGATCGATAACGACGAAGGTGTTATCCACATACCGGGCCCAGAACTTCGATTTGTGGTGTTGGAAGACCAGCGACTTTAACCGTTGCAGGACCGCCTCGGCGATGAACCCCAAAATCGGCGAACCCATTGGTCGGAGAGGAGCACCGTCTTTGTGCACCTTAGGGAAGCCATAGAATCGGGCCAAAGCCGTATCTTGGGGTCTCGCCATGCGTCTGTCGGTCAGTGTTATTGCACCTGAGTTCACCAAGGCCAACAACGTAGCATTAATTTCGCATGTCAGCGCTTTTACAGGGTTCGTTGCACATGGGACATAGAACTGTCGGTCCTCAAGTAAACCTTTGACTTTTTGAAGGTAGTCTGTCCTGTCCAGCACAACCTCGGAGCACCCCTTGTCCGCTGGCACGATGACCAGGTCTTTGTCGGCCTTGAGTTCTCTAAGCGCATCACGTTCGACCTTGGAAAGCACTTCCCGCGGCCTGTGGGCCATCAGGAGAGACGACACTTGGTGTCGGATGAGGTTCTTAGTCTCCTCCGTTGCCTCCGTCTGACTAAGGATTGATTCCACTGCTGCAATCATGTTAACAGGGTTGGCGTCAATCGTGTTGAATGAAGCTTCGTGCCTTAAAACCTGCATCTGATCCTT